CTTCCAGCGACAGAAGGACGCGTAGGGGCAGCGGCATCCCTAATTGGCCGCTCGATGTCCTCCGTCCTCGCGTGCATGACTACGGACGTCACCCCGATTCGCCTGCCCCTCGTCTTTGCCATTGCCGGCGACGAGAACGGTGGCATGTAGCGAATCGTCCATACCAATCGTGACAAGTTGGTCACTGGGGCGCCGCCGTCGGCTTATGGACGTCTCTGTGATGATCCTAGATAGGTCCTCCACCCAGGCCAATGCAAGGCCAGCAAGGGCCTAGTCCAAGGCAATGTCTGACATCGCGAATCCGGCCTGGCGCTTCATGATGCACCACCAACTCGGCCTCCGTCATGGTGTTGCGCGATGACATGTTGCCGCCTCCGTGACTGAGGTAATGCAAGAGGTCCACACGCGTCCGCAAGCGCCAGGGATGGCTCCTTCACAACAACAGGGTGGTGATGGTCGTGCCCTCTCCTTGTCGCGCCAAAGATGTCTCGGCGGTGATGTCGACCGGTCTAAGTCACCTAATGTGTTGTGCGGCGACGAGGGTAGCTCCTCCTTCACCCCTTATGCGGAGTCCGATTTAGACGCCACGGTAGCACAGGGAGGGCGGCTCCTCCTTCACCTCCTATTTAGGCGGCAACAATGGTGGGGCCAATCCACAGTCACAAAGCAACTAGGACCTCCAACTGCCACTGGAACTCCAATGATGGCACAATCAAGAATGATCATGCTTTGGCCCATGGATGTTTCCCATAGTATTTGGCTCTAAATTTGGCTAACACAGTTCTCTGTTAAATTCTACAATTTGATAAGAGCAATATTGTGCAGCAAAGCTGAAAAAAATATTTCCATGATTCAAAGCGGCTAAAAAAATATTTCCATGATTCAAAACAACTGAAAAAATATTTACTTGGATAACCTTGTTCCGAATGAAAAATTAAACAAACACACATGTATTAGTTATTATTTAAAAAAACTCAAACAAGCAGCAAATGTACGCCAAAATGACCAGTATCATAATCACTTTCTTTTGCGGTGACAGTATGATAGTCACAACTGGAGAGTAGATCAACAAATCTGCATTGTAACTTACTCTGTAGTATCAATTCCACAGGAGCTTGCACAATCTACTCAAAGATACAATACTATATACTAATTGACCATCATTGTCTTGCTTAAGCTTCACAACTGCAAAGGGAACATACTAAACTGACCAATGATTACATAACTTTTGTCCTTGTTTCAACTGCCACACTGTAAACTAAACATACTAACATTGACCATGGTAACTACTTAGACAGTCCAGCTTGGAAGCATAACACTTGGAGCTCCATCTATGAAACAAGCCAAGGGCAGCAGATCCTTGTTACAGGATAACAGTGGGTCCTCATGGCGATGGCAGTTTTCCCATAGCACGATCTGAAAAGATACAATTGATTAAGCTTATAACCATGTTGTAGCTCTTTATTCCGACTAGTTAGGTATGAAATCTAAAATAATAAAATTATTCAGATTTACTCCCTCCGTCCCATAATATAAGAGCTTTTTTACACTAGTGTATTATACTATGGGACGGAGGAAGTACTATATCTAAGCCAATGTCGAGAATTGTCGATAAAATTTGAATGAAACAGGTTCTTCAAGGAGAAGCTGAAACAAACAAACAACCTGAAGATTACATATACTAGGCAGTAGGGGCAAGGAGATGCATATAAGATTACAGCCTTGCGCAACCTGCCTATGAGCAAGACTGCAAGAGCAGCTCAAAGCATATGGCATTGCAAATATTCACACATCATAATTCTCAAACGTGCATCAATACGTACCTGGAGTGCAGAAGCTCATGTAGGGAACAATGATGACGTCGTAGTTTCTTGACCTGCAGGTGTATACCTTACGGACATGGCCTGACTTGAGCTCCATGGAGAATACCGTGTTGCCTGTCCTAAGAGCATCTCCAACAGGCGCGCTAAACAGGCGCCGCGCCGTAAATATACCCACTTTAGCGCGCACACAACCTGGCGGATGGCTCCAGCGGGCGTGCAATAACCGCGCGCACGGTATAACCAGTTGGGCGCGCGGCAGGAAGCAGTACCTCGCGCGGTGTATTTGCGGCGCCCGCTTCCGCGCGCGGCACACTCGACGCTCGCGATGCGCTCTTCTTCTCCCCCTCCAAAACCCCGTGCGCACCGGCGCCGGTGACCCGCACCCATGGACGCATGCGCCGACACCCCGCTCACTCCGTCCTATAGCCGCGACCCCGCCGCTGCCGCCGCCACAAACCCTAGCCCGGGTGGCGTTGGCCTCGCCTCCGCCGGAGCTCCTCCGACCAGCAGCCTCGCGCGCGGCCTCTTCATGCCGTCGCGGATGACCTCGGCGGCAGGTGGCGTCACGTCGGCGCCGGCCCGAGCCGCCGCCCCCTCCTCCTCAAAGCTCCCCAATGCGGCGCAGCCAAAGAAGGGAAAGACATCGGCGAAGAAAAACAAGGCGGCGGACGGCTCCGGCACCTCCAAGGCAAGGAGGAATAAGCTTGCGGGGCGTGCGACGGGTGCGGCGGCTGCCGAAGCGCCGCCAAGGTCACTCGTTGAGCCGGCGGCCGGCGCGCACAACATGTTCGACGAAATGCCTCCAAGGTAAAAAAACTAACTTTTCTTTTTTTGTTATTTTTTGAATGCATTCGTCACATATAGATAGCTTATTTGCATTGTGCAAAAAAATTTGTAGTCTCAATGATGATGCATACATGTCAACGATGGGTGTTGGCTCCAACAATTCGCATTGGTCTCAAACCAATGACATGCATTTTGAAGACCATGAGTTCGAGGTGGACGAGGAGGGTGAGGGCATTGTCGACACACCGAAAGGAAGAGCGGCCAATTACACCAACGCCGATGACATCTTACTATGTAATACTTGGTTGCAAGTGTCGAGGGACCCATCCGTTGGAGGTGATCAAAGTAGAGATGCTTATTGGAACCAGATGAAGGAACACTTTTGTGCTCGCAACATGAGTGGAATTGACCGCTCCAACCCATCACTTAGGTCCCGATGGTCGACAATCAACTCGGATTGTCAAAGGTGGGCGGCCTGTCAAAAGGCGGTTGACAAGTTGAACCCAAGTGGCACAAATGAGGACGATAGAGTAAGTGCCATTTCATCTTACATGTTAGTGCTAACTTTCTTTGTTTTGCTTGTTGTTGGTGCTAACTTGCTTTGTTTTCATGTAGTACAACATTGCGCAAAACTTGTTCAAAGAAGAGGAGAGGAAAACCAAGAAGGGGAAGATCAAGAAAGGAAGGGTATTTACTTTGCCTCATTGCTATGAAGTGTTGAAGAATGATGAGAAATGGAAGAAGCGTGAAGATTTGGATGATTTGCATTTGAGCGACAAACGGAAGTGAACAATTAAGTTGGATGATGATGATGAGGAGGATGATGCATCAAGTGATGACGGCAAGAGAAGCCCCACACCCAACTCGGTTTCATACTCGAAGCCAAAGCGACCGGATGGGTGCAAGAAAGACAAAACCGAAAAGAAGAAGAGGAAAGGAGATGATGAGCTCAAAAATGCTATGGAAGCTATTGTGAAGGCAAGAAAAGAAGCCAACGAGGTGAGGAAAATGGCAAGGACCCAAGATGCCGCGGCCGAGGAGAGGAAGGTGGCTTTGGAGGAGAGGAAGGTGAGCAATGAGGAGCGAACTAGGTTGTTGGAATGGGAGAAGCACTTGTTCTTCTTGGACACAACTAACCTCAATGCGGTGCAAAAGGAGCATGTCAATCTTGACCAAGAAGAAGTCATGATCCAAAAAAGAGCCATGGTTCGTGCAATGGGTGGTGGTGGCCTTGACGCAATGGGTGGTGGTGGCCTCGGCGCAATGGGTGGCGATGGCCTTGGCGCAATGGGTGGCGGTGGCCTCGGCGCCATGGGTGGCGGTGGCCTCGGCGCCATGGGTGGTGGTGGCCTCGGCGCCATGGGTGGCTTTGGAGGTACCGTGGGCGGTTTAGGTGCAATGGGAGGCATGCCTGGCATTGGAGCACCCCCCGACGCTATGGCCACCATGGGAGGCATGAGTTTTGCTTCTCTCATGGGAGGCATGGGTGCACCTCCGGCCGCCATGGGCGGAATGTCTTTCGATGTGCCTCCTCGCACACATTCCCATGAAGATGCCGTTGAAGATCTTGCCAACACCATCGGAGCTTCACGTGATGCACTGCGCGATGAGGAGAGGGAGGAAGATTCATCTTCGGAGGCGGAAGAATCGTCTTCCGAAGATGAGGGCGAGGACGAAGACGAGGACGAGGACGAGGAATGATGTGTCTTTCATTTGTGTATTGAACTTGATTTGCATTTTGAACTTGGTTGGATGAACTTGTGGGCATGATTTTAAACTTGTGGGCATGAACTTCATCAACTTGTTTGCGTAAAATTTTTATTGTGTTGGAAAATGTTTATCATTTTGTGTTGAAAATGCCATATGCAATGCACCGGCGAGTCGCGCACGCTGCATTTTTGCGCGGCTGCTGGAGCCAGCGCTGCGCGCCGTGCCAAACCAGGCGATACGCGCGCGGCATATCTGTTTTTTGCATGCGGCGCGACCGACGCCTGTTGGAGATGCTCTAACGAAAATGAGTCTGTGGCCGTCCGCGAAGCCAACGACCTCAGGTGGCGTCAAGAGGCCACGAGTGTGGAGCATCGTCTTGTGCTGGATAACTCTGCGCTGCACCCATTCCACCTCTCCGTTGGTGCCATCCTTCATCGACCAGAGGTAGAGCGTGCCATTCCGCACGCCGGCGAACCCCAGCCTGTCATCCTCCGCTTTCACGAGGACGGTGCAAGAGTAGTACTCGTGCTGGGACGGCGGCCAAATCACCGAGAGTTCCTGCCTGATGATGTCGTACCCCAACATTCTGAAATTGAGGTACGGGTTGCAGGTGAAGTAGAGCGTGTACCCCACAAGGAAGCTCGGTCGCCCGTCAACAAATGCCGGCTGCTCGATCCCAACTCACTGGCTCCAGGCACCGGCCTTCGACGAGTAGGTGCAGGCGAACGTGATGCCATGTTCGCCGCATCCCATGAAGGCGACACGGAAGGGTCCGCCATGACAGTCGAGGTGGTCGCAGCCGACCGCGGCGCAGAGCACGACCGCGTTGAAGCCAAGCGCGTAGGCCGGCACGCGGGGGATCTTGAACTCCTCACCCTTGACGGGGTCCCAGACGACGAGGCGCTGGCCCTGAGCGGTGTGGAGGAGCACGCGGCCGTGGCGGGCGTCCAGCACATTCAGGTCGGGGCGGTCGGAGGCGGCGGGGCAGAAGGAGGAGGTGGGGACGAGCTGGGCCATGCCTTGGTAATGCTGCTTCAGGTTGAGGACGAAGCCGAGCATGGAAGGTGTTCGATGGAATGCGCGGTAGCGGCGGAGGTACGCTGGGTCGGTGAGGAGGTGGCGCCAGCGCCAGCAGACGAGGGAGGCGCGCACAAGGCGCGTGGGGTCGTCCGGAGGGAGGCGGAGGAGGATCTCCGGGGCCATGTCGGCGATTGTCCGAGGCGCCGGCGCTGGTGCCGGCACGAGGCGAGGCCGTTTCGGCATGGGCGTGTCCATGGGTGGTTGCTTGCTTCATTTGGTGCTGGTTTCCCGGCGCTACGGTTAGGTTTTAAGCATGCTAGTGGCTAAGAGGACGGCGACCGGAATGGGAGGTCACGCACGCGGCTTGCGGAGGGAGACAGTGGCGGCATGGGAGGGGAAGTTGGCTCGAGAAGTGCGCGGGCCGGGAGTTGGCGCGTGATTTTAACACCGTTTGGCGGGCAGCAAATTCAAGTACTGCCGCCAACCAGAATATTGTGCAATCTGCCGCTTGGCGCCTACCGCGGATCAGGGCACACTAGTGGAGGAGCACGCGGCCGTAGCTACTGGTGCGGCTCCCATATCAGGCCTCTTCGAAGCCATCACTTTTTTCTGGACAAACTTTTTTTCTTTTTTCTTTTTTTGAAACTACAAACTTTTTTTCAAGAGTACGCCAATGGCGTACCATATTTTTATAAAAGACAGAACAATATTTACAAGAGACCAAACGGAGATGCGAACATCCAAGATGGCAAACACCACTCCGACCCCAACCCAAACTCACACAGTTACATTCTCACGAAAGGATCTAGACCTCCAACACTGAGCCCTGCACTAGTCCAATCTACAATCTCAGAACGAATTGGCGCTACCAGTTGGGGAGGTGTCTTCTGATCGCGCGGCCTGTTGAACACCCTAGCGTTATGCTGCTTCCACAGAGCCCATGCCGTCCCTATGACAAAGGAGTCGAATCCTCGTCGCACTCTGCCTGTTAACCTCAATATTTGCTCCAGCCACCATTCGGAAAAGGTAGTGTTGGTGGTCGGCGCGTGGATGTTAAGCTGGAAAGAATCGAGGCATAGGTGCCACACCTCTCATGCGTAGACGCAATGCACCAAGATGTGATCCGTGTTATCTTCTTCTTAAAGGCACGTGAAGCACGGCGACCTCTCATCTTGGGGGCCTTGTCTGGCTCGCCTGTCAGAAGTCCAAAGCCGATACTACACCGCAAGCCAAGCAAAAAATTTGCACCGTAAGGGTGCCCAGCTCCTCCAAATGCCTTTTGTCGTTGCCCATGCATAACCTTTGGTAGACCGACCTTGCTGTGTAAGTTCCTGAGATGTCTACTGGCCAAGGAAACTGGTCCGGACTCTGATCATTAGTCGGGACTGTGGCGATGGCTAGGCATAGATTGGACACCTGCATGTGCGCAGTGAAGGAGATGTCACCTTGAACGTCCACCGTCCATGCATTCCCCGACAAGGCCGGTTTTACTGTCCTTCTGTTGCGTTCCCTCATGTTCACCATCCCGAGGATGAGGGGAGCAATCTCACTGACTGTAAACCCATGGATCCAACGATCCATACAGAACAACACCCTCTTGCCATCGCCCACATTGATCTTAACAAGACTATTGAAAACAAGCCTGACCTTTGCATCCTCTGTCATAGGAATACCGTGCCAAGGTCTAGATGGGTCAGACCTGCGTAACCATTCCCACCGCACACACAGCGCAATCTCCTGCATGCGTAGATCTCGGAATCCCAGGCCGCCAAAACATGTTGTACGGCACACCGTGTCCCAAGCCACAAGGCATTGCCCGCCATTTACCTTGTCTTTGTCGGCCCAAAAGAACGCCCTCATCCATTTCTTCATGTCTTCAAAGACCCATCCAGGGGCATCAAGCACCATGAGCTGATGTACCGGCCTTGCAGAGACAACTGATTTGGCAAGGATCAATCTTCCAGACCTCTGAATCAACCCTCTTTGCCATGTAGGTACCACCTTCCTGACTTGATCGAGCAACGGTTGCCAGTCCGTACATCCCAATTGGTGGATCGCGAGCGAGATTCCAAGGTATTTGCAAGGGAATGCGCCTAGCTGACATTGCAGCACTGCCCTCACTCTACGCCCATCCTCCTCTGATCCCCTTATCAAAATCGCAGCCGATTTTGTGAAATTAATCCTTAAGCCTGAAGCTTCACCAAAAACCTCCGACGGCTCCTTTATGCAATACAGATCTTGCACTGAAGGCTTCACAAACATCGCTACATCGTCAGCATAAACCGAAAGCCTCTGCATTGGCTCGATCCCTCTGAAGGAGTTGAGGACACCCTCGGTCATGGTTGTGTTGATGAGGGAAGAGAGAGTGTCCATGGCGATCACAAAAAGCATAGGGGAGACGGGGTCCCCTTGCCTTAGACCCTGAGTGTGGTAGATGATGCTTCCTGGGACTCCATTGAAAATGATCCTGGTGCTCACCGTGGATAGCAACGCAGTCACCCAACTAACCCATCTCCATACGAACCCTCGTGCCCTTAGTACTGAAGGAAATATTCCCTAGAGGCAATAATAAAGTTATTATTTATTTCCTTACTTCATGATAAATGTTTATTATTCATGCTAGAATTGTATTAACCGGAAACATAATACATGTGTAGATACATAGACAAACAGAGTGTCACTAGTATGCCTCTACTTGACTACCTCGTTGATCAAAGATGGTTATGTTTCCTAACCATAGACATGAGTTGTCATTTGATAAACGGGATCACATCATTAGGAGAATGATGTGATTGACTTGACCCATTCCGTTAGCTTAGCACTTGATCATTTTAGTTTACTGCTATTGCTTTCTTCATGACTTATACATGTTCCTATAACTATGAGATTATGCAACTCCCGATTACCGGAGGAACACTTTGTGTGCTACCAAATGTCACAACGTAACTGGGTGATTATAAAGGTGCTCTACAGGTGTCTCCGATGGTACTTGTTGAGTTGGCATAGATCAAGATTAGGATTTTTCACTCCGATTGTCGAAGAGGTATCTCTGGTCCCTCTCGGTAATGCACATCACTATAAGCCTTGCAAGCAATGCAACTAAAGAGTTAGTTGCGGGATGATGCATTACGGAAACGAGTAAAGAGACTTGCCGGTAATGATATTGAACTAGGTATTGAGATACCGACGATCGAATCTCGGGCAAGTAACATACCGTTGACAAAGGGAACAACGTATGTTGTTATGCGGTTCGACCGATAAAGATCTTCGTAGAATATGTAGGAACCAATATGAGCATCCAAGTTCTGCTATTGGTTATTGACCGGAGATGACTCTCGGTCATGTCTACATAGTTCTCGAACCCGTAGGGTCCGCACGCTTAAAGTTCGGTGACGATCGGTATTATGAGTTTATGTGTTTTGATGTACCGAAGGTAGTTCGAAGTCTTGGATGTGATCACAGACATGACGAGGAGTCTCAAAATGGTCGAGACGTAAAGATTGATATATTGGACGGCTATATTCAGACACCGTAAGTGTTCTGGATGATTTCAGAGAAAACCGGAGCGCGGGAGGGGTTACTGGAACCCCCCGGGGATGGGCCTTAGTGGGCCTGAGGGGAGAGAGAGGGCTGCAGCCCAGGAGGTGGCGCGCACCCTCCCATGGGGAGTCCGAATTGGACTAGGGGAGGGGCACGCAGCCCCTCTTTCCCTCTCCCTCTCCCTCTCTTTCCTTCCCCCTTCCCTCTTCCTAGTTGGACTAGGAAAGGATGAATCCTCTTCCTAGTAGGAAGAGGATTCCTCCTCTCCTTGGGGCGCACCAAGGCTGGCCGGCCTCCCCCCTTGCTCCTTTATATACAGGGGGTGGGGGGCACCCAAAGACACACAAGTTGATTGTTCCAAGTGAAAGAACGAGGATGTCGCCTAGAGGGGGGTGAGTAGGCGCTTTGAAATAATTACGGTTTAGGCTTGAACAAATGCGGAATAAACCTAGCTGTCAAGCACAAAACCAATAACAACTAGGCTCACCTATGTGCACCACAAACTTATGCTAATCAAGAAAAACTACTAGGTGATAGCAAGATATATGACACGAAACAATATGGCTATCACAAAGTAAAGTGCATAAGTAAAGGGCTCGGGTAAGAGATAACCGAGGCACGCGGAGACGACGATGTATCCCGAAGTTCACACCCTTGCGGATGCTAATCTCCGTTTGGAGCGGTGTGGAGGCACAATGCTCCCCAATAAGCCACTAGGGCCATCGTAATCTCCTCACGCCCTCGCACAATGCCAGATGTCGTGATTCCACTAAGGGACCCTTGAGGGCGGTCACCGAACCCATACACTTTGGCAACCCTTGGGGGCGGTCACCGGAACCCGTCAAATTTCTCGGGGCGATCTCCACAACCTAATTGGAGACCCTGATGCTTGCTCGGAGCTTTACACCACAATGATTGAGCTCCGAACACCACCAACCGTCTAGGGCGGCCAAGCACCCAAGAGGAACAAGCTCAAAGGTACCAAGCACCAAGAGTAATAAGCTTCTCAACTTGTAACTTACACATATCACCGTGGAGAACTCAAACCGATGCACCAAATGCAATGGCAAGGGCACACAGAGTGCCCAAGTCCTTCTCTCTCAAATCCCACCGAAGCAACTAATGCTAGGGAGGAAAATGAGAGGAAGAACAAGAAAGAGAACACCAAGAACTCCAAGATCTAGATCCAAGGGGTTCCCCTCACATAGAGGAGAAAGTGATTGGTGGAAATGTGGATCTAGATCTCCTCTCTCTTTTCCCTCAAAAACTAGCAAGAATGCATGGAGGGATTGAGAGTTAGCAAGCTCGAAGAAGGTCAACAATGGGGGAAGAACACGAGCTCAAAAGATAAGGTTCAATGGGGAAGAAGACCCCCTTTTATAGGACCTCCCGAATCCAACCGTTATGTGCTCAGTTTGCGTACTAGCGGTACTAACTCAATGCAACCATTAGTCCATAGAGAATGCCATCAATTACCAAAACCACACATGGGGGCACCGCATGTCCTTTCAATCTCCCCCATTTTGGTAATTGATGACAATCACTTTCAAGAGAGTTTAATTATGCATCACCATGCAATGCAACAACCAATGATGCAGGAGAATGAGATGCGAATGATTAGGAACAAAACCAAAGCAAGGAGAAGACTCTGAAAACCTTCTCCACAAAACTCTCTGAAACTTCTCCCCCATTGGCATCGATTGCCAAAATGGGCG